TATATATATATAGTATATATATATATATATTATTATTATATATATATATATATATAATAATATATATATATATATATATATATAATAATATATATATATATATATATATATATATATATATGTATATGTATACATATATGTATGTATATTTGTATATATATATATGTGTGTATATATATATATATACATATATGTTGAAATATATTTATATATGAACTTAATTTGTGTGTGCATATATGAACAAGCAGTGACGTGACTCGTGCATGAATCAGCAGTACCCTTGACCGGTATTTAATTTCGTGGGCAGATGTGTTCTGTTGTGTACGTGTGTATTTATTGGAGATATCCTAAGTTGTAGACAATCTCTCTGTGTGTGGTCTATCTGCGTATAACAATCAATCTGGGATGGTATTGTTGGGTTGGTCTGCTAAATTTGAACCGATCGCGTGCGTGTTCTTCTGTGTCTGTGTGTTTGTGTGTCGGTGCCAAAGCGCAAGCTCCAGTATTCTTGTGTATATACCTATGCATCTTTGTGCACGTTTCTATTACAAATAGTGCTGTGTGGGGTGTGCAGGTGAAATATTTGTTCGTTGGCGGGCGTTTTGTTCATTTTCATGTGTCAATCTATGTAGGTTCTTATCAAGTTGCCATCCTACATTGTAATCGTCAGCAATCCTTTTCGATCTGCCCAACCCCCGTTTACAACCTTTGGAGAGTGGGAGATGAGGCGTTTCACTCTCCTACTAGGTTACACGCGGCGTCCAGGGCAGCCACAGCACCAGAGGGAAACTTGATACCTGTGACGTCGGTCACGATAACCTGGTTGACAACATGTAATCTTCGTTTTCGTTTTGGGTTTTCCACCCACAGAGGACCACCCCGCCCAGAGCGACACTAGCACCAGTGGCATATGGTCTTTCTATAGTGTGTTTGACGGCCACGGGGGAGGGGAAGCGTCCAAGTTTTGCCGCGCAAAAATGGCGCAACGAACAGCTGTGCGCGTGGCACATGCAGTGGAGAACTGCGACGACGGTCACGTCGAGGTGTCGCTTATAAAGTATGTGTGATGCTCTGTACAGAAACTGGTTGAAATGTTAACAACAGGCCAAGCAGGTATAACATGACTGGCAGGGTCTATGGACGGGAATGTAGGTTTACTATTAATAAGTGCGTGTGTGACTTTTGTATGTACATATGATACTTAGCTGTATTTGTTGCGTGTCTGTATGTACGATGAAAATATATTGAAATATAGGCTAGAAAACGTGTACTGTTCACGAGTAAATATGTTGTGGGGTATTCAATCCTTTCTGTTCATATGTGTAAGTGTCTTGTATGTGGCTCATGTACTCTACATCACTCGTACCGGTCAAATGCTATTGTATTCTATCGTATCTCATGAGCAGTCACGGGATAGTACCCCTTCAATGCATTTGGACGTTTCAAGTCTAATCCCAATCTGAAGGCCTGTATACGTTCAAGTCCCGGAGTATGAGCTCATCTAAACGCTTGTTGATATACATACTTGTATCGAATAGAGTCGGAGGTGCCGTTCTCATACACACACACATTCCTTAACTCCATTGCAGAGAAGAATTGGGGTACGTGTTTGATGATGTGGAGTCAGAGTTTGTGCAATGGGCGGAGAGTGAGGAAGATACCAGCGGCGCCTGTGCCCTGGCCGTTCTACTCAATGACCAGGATATGGTATGTGACTCGAACTATACATAGATCAATACATGCCGATGACTACCCTTGTATGAATGTATATATTAGTTATACTCAATGACTAGGATACGATATGTGAGCCAGACTATACATAGATCAGTGCATGATGATGACAAACCTTTTCTACCTTATCTAGATGCATATAGCAGTTCTACTCAATGACCAGGATATGGCCTGTGTGCCAAACTGTTCATAGATCAATGCACGGTGATGACAAACCTTGTCTAGATGCATATAGCAGTTCTACTCAACGACCAGGATATGACATGTGAGCCAAACTGTACATAGACCAATGCATGGTGATGACAACCCTTATCTAGATGCATATATATGATATGTGAGCCAAACAATACGTAGATCAATGCATAATGATGACAAACCTTATCTAGATGCATATATATGATATGTGAGCCAAACAATACATAGACCAATGCATAATGATGACAAACCTTATCTAGATGCAAATATATGATATGTGAGCCAAACTATATATAGATCAATGCATGGTGATGACAAACCTTATCTAGATGCATATATATGATATGTGAGCCAAACTATACATAGATTAATGCATGGTGGTGACAAACCTTATCTAGATGCATATAGCAGTTTACTCAATGACCAGGGTATGATATGTGAGCCAAGCTGTATAGATCAATGTATGGAGATGACAAACCTAATCTAGATGCATATAGCAGTTCTACTCACTGACCATGAAATGATATTTGAGCCCAAACTATTTATAGGACAATGCATGGTGATGACAATATTTATATAGATGTACATAACAGTTCTACTCAATGACGGGATATTAACAGCCAATTGTACATGAATCAATACATGGTGATGACTATCTTTGTATAGATGCACATAACAGTTCTAGTCAATGACCAGGATATAGTCTACATTTGAATAGATAATTTCATGGGGACGACCATTGCTATGGGTCTGCCCAATGACTAGGATACGGTAAGCGACCCAAACTATAAATACAGCAATGACTTACCAATATATGAATGCATAAAGTGATTGTGCCCAAAGACCAGAATATGGTAGTTGGTACTATTTCGACTCAATGAACCAGGCGTGGTACGTGGTCCCATACCATGAACGTGATCAGTGCATGATAGTGACTTATGGATTCGCATGCATGCAGCCTAAGAGAGTCTGTAGCGAAAAGATAGCGATGCATCGACAGACCTGCAGATGGTACAAGTATAAATCCATTTTACTAAAGTAAAAAATCTTACTTTTGTAGGTATCAGTATGTATTGAAATGAGACACTGACTCGTCATATATCCCACAGCATCACACAGCGCGTACCTTCTCGTTGGGCAAGACACCTTCCATGTTTTTCACATTCTAGCTTAGGTTCGCAATTCTCGCGGAAGGCTATATCTATGGGTCAGTCTTGCTCAACCCTGAAAACACCATACCAATAACTCTGTTCAAATGATCGTTGCTCCTACCATGGCACGAGGGTTGTGTCACCAATTACATTTTCCCCTTTGACATATGTCATCACCTCACAAGTAAATACGGAAACTCGAACTGCTAGGTCATCGTGACTGCCGTATATTGTGACGGTATGCTATCCACGTGCAATATCGACAACAAAGTCCAAACAAATGTGTTATACACCACTGATGAAACTACAACCTTGGCACACGCCACAAATTATTGGTCACATGTGTCCATCTGATATGAGTCTGCTTGTAGTCGTCCACATCGCTCTAGCTTGCACATAGCTTCATTCAGTGACGCCGGTTTTTATCCAGTTTGTAGCGAATGCAGGCGACTGTGGAGGTGTTTTGTTTACCATCAAGGCCGACAAAACGGTCAAAACACGGTCCATCAACCATCGCCACAAGTGCTCCAACCCCAGTGAAGAAAGGCGCATTCTCAAAGCAGGCGGTAGTGTTATCATGGGTAGAGTTAACGGTGTGCTGGAGCCTACTCGAGCGATCGGTGATATCGATATGAAGGGCCAGGAACGAGAGAGCGGTGTGATTGCTACTGCAGGTAAGTCGGTTGGGTTTGTTTTTTTTGGCAGTTGCATATACTGTCAAAGTGAGTGCGTCGTACTCACGGTAAATGCAATTGAGATCGAGGGGTGTTTTGGATATTTGACTAGTGTTATAGAAATTAATGGTTTGAAAGAATTAAAGCTTGTATCGGTGTGCGCTTATAAACTGGGTTTAAGATTTAGGGTTTAATTTTTCAAGAAATTTTTCTGAAACACCTGTCGAAGTTTTTAATTTCATGTGTTCTTTCTTTCCCTCTTTTCTATTGTATAGAATTACATCACATTGGCCTAGACGCGGCACTACCCTGGATACTGGTAATGGGTACAGACGGGCTCTTTGACTTCGTTACTATAAAAGAAATTCAGGCGATGATCAGGGAACCTTTGCGCACGCCGAGAGATGTACAAGCACTCGCCACCCAGCTGTATGAGAGTGTCATAGGTATGTTCACAATCACTTGTAACCCGCTATTTGAAGTGTTGTTACTTGTAACCCACCTCAGCTATTTGTAGTGTTTTGCTTTGTACTAGCAGTAATAATTCTACTGAAGTAGAGCCTTACAGGTATGCACTAATGCCCGTAATCTATCTGTCTTACAAGCATGCACTAGCAATCGTAACTTGTATGTAAGCGGTATACGTACGCTCCTACCAGGTATTTCTTATTATCGGCGCATTCTAATTGCAACTATATATTACTACACTACAGATGCTGATGGGGACGATGATTGTACGATAATCGTGGTGGCCTCCAATCCGACAACGTGAGCACGCACAGCTATAGATAAAAGTGATAGTAAATTAGGGCATAGATTGCGGTACACGAGAACGGTGGACAACCATCACCGACAGCAGCCTTTAGAAGCTTATGACTAGTGAATGAAAACTCATCAGTAGCCGATATGAAATAGTGTGCGTTTCTATTGCACTGCACGGCTAATACCAAATGATGTGCACTGCACAGTATCGTTTTAGATTCATAACGTGTAATATATGTATATATTTACAAATATACATATATATATATATATATATGTGTGTGTGTGTGTGTGTGT